CTAGAAGAACAAGTTGCACTTCTTGCAATGGCTGTGGCATCTCTAATAATAAGCATCAGATAAAAAGATGAACAAATTGTCTTAATGATGGCAAAAATCAATAGCCTTATTGGAAAGGCACCAATAGATCTTGGCCAAAATCAACGCTAAGATAATGAGAAGAATTCCATTACAGAAGTGGAAAATAATCTACAATAAAAATCTAATGAAATGGTCACCACCAACCAATTGAAAGAATTCATCAAGGTAGCCATTAAAGAACAGGTGGAAAATGTCTCTCAGCCCTCATACACTTATGCCAAGCCGTATTCTCAAAGGATTGATCGCATTAGGATGCCACCAAACTATTAGTCGTCAAAGTTCCAAAAATTTGATGGTAAAGGAAATCCTCATTAACATGTTGCATACTTCGTAGAAACTTATAACAACGCTAGCACTTATGGTGATCTTATGGTGAAGCGGTTTGTTCGGTCTTTAAAGGGCACATGCCGCCAGTATCACCTAAAAAAGCTAGCAGCACATGCCGCGAGCTTCACTTAAAAAGGCTCGCGGCATGTGCAGTGAGCTTCACTCAAAAAAGCTTGGGGCACATGTCGTGAGCTTCACTCAAATTCACTAAAAAACAAGAAAAGAGGCTCAATTTAAAAAAAAAAAAAACCACAACTTGCAGCTTTTGCTGCCAACAAATTGTTCTAAAGTAAAAAGCTCTCTTCTTTGTATTAAAAACCAAAAACTGCAACTTGTAGCTTTTGCTACCAACAAATTAAAAAAAACATTAACAAGTTAGTCAACCTTTGTTTGCTGCTTTTACTTCAGCCTTTATTTACTTTTTTTATTCTAATGTTTCACTAATTTTTTTTTTTAAACAAAAGCTAGTGACTCCAAGTCTAGAATTTTAAGAACAAATAGAAATATTAAACTAAACTTCAAGAGAAACAGTCAATTAAAAATATAAATAAATAAAAATCTCAACAGTTGACACTTTACTTTTAGGTTTTAGCTGTAAACTATAATTTATGGATATAAAAGGATTGAAACAAATCCCTGTATTAAGTAAGATTTTTTTTTCTTTCTTCTCTTTCTTATCAAGTTAGTTTTCCTTTCAAACATAAATATTTTTCTTGTGATTTTCTTCTATAATCAAATAATTTATTTATTTGTTTAAACGTATATATATAAAAAAATCATCTCACGCATAAAATTTTTTTTCTCGTATTTTAATTAAAAAAATTTAATGCAGAGGGCGACAAGTAAGAGAAATTCATTTTTTTTAAAAAATCAAACAAGAAATTACAAGAAGAAGAAAAACTTACTTGCTGAATTTTTCTCAAAAGAACCAACTTTGCTCTGAATTTTATTTTGTTTTGCTTTGAATATGAATAAAGAAAATTGTTTATAGTAGCTTGATATTTATAAGCCACATAGAATCAGAGTTTTTATGAAAAAGATTGACTTTTCTTCTATTATTTGTATCTTAAAAATCTTATTTATATAGAAAAATATTATTACGTAATAAATCAAATATTACAAAAAAAAATATTGGCATTATATCTTACATAAGACGATAACATGTTACTACCTAAAGCATTACCAACTAGGGTATTACTGTTTAAGGTGGTACTGCCCAAGGCATTACTACTCAAAGTGATACAGTACAATATGTTACACTACAAAATACAACTTTTACATTTTAAATTAATACATAAGAATTAATTTTAACAATGAATTCTTATGCAGGGGGCAAAATGTAAATAGTCGATTTGGTTAATACTTATTCTTTAAAAAATAATTTTATTGCGTAATATTATATAAAAAATAATGAGAACAACCATTATAAGTAAAGCACTACTTCACGCAGAACAATTAGAATAAGTGGAGCATTACTCCTTGTAGAACAAATAATACAAGTAGAATAACTATTTTGTACAAAATAATAATTTCACACAGATGACAGTGAAAGTAATTCGGAATAGGTGACAGGTTTCATGGATTACTTTCGTATTGGGATGTTCCAAAAAGTTTAGCTTGGTGGCTCAAATATGGAGATAGTTAAGAGGTCTCTTTTAACCTTTTCCTGAAGTATAAGTGTTTTTCTCGTTTTCCTTGTTCTTTTATACTTGTTCACATACAGTCTTTTCTCTTGTACCTGTTCATGTATAGCTTTTTCTCTTGTATCTGTTCACGCATAGATTTTCTTTATTAGCTCCTACTCGAGAACAAGTCTTATTAAATATAATTACTTCAATGGTCGCATAATAAGTTTTTAACCGTTACTCAATATTAACTCTCAATAACGGTTACCTAACATTAAAACTCTCCTTAATGATATTATTCATGACGTGTATTAAAGCTTTTTCTTGTAATTGTTATTTTCGACACTATATATATAGAGCTTTTACAATTCAAAAAGGAAAACTTTTTTAAAACTACTGGACTCTGACTCAAAGCTTTTCTCCTTAGCCTATTCTTAATCAGAACACTTAGTCTTTTCTTATTCTTTTCCCCTGCCACGACATTTAATGCTTCAGGAACTGCTCCAATCTTCCTCTTCGTCACTTCTGGTACATCCCTTACTTGTTTACAATGCTTCCTCTTCTTATCACAAGAACCCCATTTATAGTGAGCAAAATTTTTTTCAAGATTTCCTTGTTCAGCATCTGTAAGTGGAAGCAATTAAAGGCTTTGCGCTTTTGAAAGTTCCTTGCATTGGCCTCTACTAGAGAGATTTGTTGTAACAAGTATCTTATTCTTGCATTGTTCTATTTTAAAAGGCTTTTCCTTTTGTTGTCTTGAGCGTTTAGATGGAGCTTAATAGGAAATAGAGATTAAAACTTCAACATTATGTTCAAGGTAAGGATTATGAACTTGGGACCACCATTCCATATATCTCGCGGTGGCATGATCATTAATATTTTAGGGACGAGTTAGAGAAATTAATCTTGACTGAGTATTAGAAAGTGTGCAAGTTTGTCAAAATTTTAATAAGTCATCCACTGAGCCAGAGCGAATATCAATCTTAAGATTTTCAGGAACATC